ATCTTTATTTTGTGCACAGACCCTGCTGGAAGTCACGTAGGCATTGAGTTGTTATTTACAAACTGACTTTTTGTGAAAGCATTCATGGCATGTGCAGCTCAGGCTGATGGGATTTTCTCATCCTTCGTCTGAAGGTGTACCAGAAGGTCTGAGTGCCGACGGGCAGAGGAGAAGAATGGCTGGTTGTGGAGCCCCAAGCAGCAGTGTGTCAAGATTGTATCCTTCTCTCCTTCAAACCTTTCCTGCAGAAAGACCGGCAAGGTACAGCTCTGTTTATTCCTCACTCAAACTGTCTCTGACTTCCTTTGTTCTCTTTTATTGTCCCTCTTTTCTCTGCAGTACCTAACTCCACTTACATGCAGAGACTGAGTAATAAACTGGGAATCAAAGACCTCGAGCTCTAGGTCTTCCAGTTCTGTATTGATCCACCCAGAAAAATCCAAACTGTCTTATTATAACCTGCGTGGCTGATTGTCTGAAGATGGAGAGCCTCTTCCTATTCCCCCATTTTTTACTTCTTCTGTGTTCCTGCCCGTCTGACTCACACATGAATTCCCATCAGCAGCATGTCACTCCTTTCTCTTTCTCAGTTTCTTTCTTTAAAAAGAGAAACAGTTTCTTTATTATAACTTTGGTTACACAGAGATACAAATTCAGTGAGATGTTACGGGCTAAGAAGCCACAGTTTCCAGTCAGTATGTTTTTGTCTGTCCAGGTGAACATCAATATTCCCTCCCTTCCTACCATTGGACACTCTGACCGTCTGCAATGCAAGATTGAGTCTTTCCAGAGTAACGGCATCATGTCAGACTCTGGTGAGGTCTCCTGTGATCTGCCCCAGCCTGGGCTTATACCAAAAACACCTGAGGGCCAAGGTATGGTCTCTTTAATTACCCTGCCATGTTTCTGTCGTCTTTAAGGTCTAATGTCTGTGCTTCTCCATGATGGTTAACGCTGCATTACTAACTGGCCAAGGTGGGAAATGGGCTGAAAAAAACATGAGGTTAAGTTAATGTCAAATGGCAAATTCTCCATCATTTTGTTGAAGAACTTACAGTGTCCAAAAAATTTGCACCAGAAAATTGCACGAAATCAACACACTAATCTAATTTAAGCTTTATTATTTCAGTTTATAGTTTTTTGTATCAGTAGTCAGCAAACATCTTGCCCAAAACAAAGTGAGTCCCATAAAAAAAGTCCTTTATAAAACAAAACATGAAACTTTTTTTAAATACAGCTCAAGTTTTGGCTTTTATACACTAATATGCAGTTCAGGCAGTTAAATAATCACAACTGATTATTTAACTGATTCTGAGGAGATTTATCAAAATATTTAATCGCTCTGTTTTTTGTCTTTAAATGTACAAGCATACTTCACATCTTTTATATGATAAAACTTGTATTCACATAAACAGCTAGTGTATCACATTTTAACCACTGTTTTACTGTATCTTCAGACTTTGTGGCCGTGGCTATCAGGATCTTTGTGAATGAGACTGTGGAGTTGGCCACGCGGGAATTCATGTTCTACAACTGTGCTGCCACAGTGAGGAAATCTGAAAACACACCGTGAGTCAGGCTGTTAATCTTTCAGTTCTGCTCTGTCACTCAGTGAAAATACACAGTGACATGGAACACAGCATCATCTGACAACCTTGATGTAAATGTATCACCGTGCATGAGCAGATGAGAGATCAAGGCTCTGTTTGTAAATTGTGATGCATGGTGGTTTTGAATGCACCTCTTGCATTTTCGCTCCTGCTTCTATTACCAAGCCGAGGAAATTGCCTCAGTTTCCTTTTCATTAATCAAAAAAAAAAGTCGATCCTGGCTGTTTTTTTCCCCTCATTTTTTTCTGCATTTCTTTCACACAGAGGAACGTGTGATGAACGAGCTTTGCTTATGTGAAGTTGCAGAGATCCATTTCATTGTCAGCAACATAGATTTTTGTGCCGGACGCTCTCTGATGAGTTTGCATGTTTTAGATGTTGTTTGTGTGTGCTTTTGTGTGTGCATGCTCTACCCTGATTGTGCATGTGAAAGTATTTCCTTATCCAAGTTGGTGCATATTTCTGTGTTTTCAGGTGCATGTCATGTGTAAGCAGTCAGTGGGGATGTCAGTGGAACACGCAGGACCACACCTGCAGCGATGCGGACAACAGCGTGGTTGGTTCCCACATCATCAAGCACCGTCAGGTTAGTTCTTTCTGACAGGTCAAGGACTCTTTCTGTCATGTATGTGTATGATAGATGTGGAGAACGACTATAGCACAAGTTTTAAAGGACACATCTAAACTTTACATGTGATTCACCGCTTGAGTGGTCCAAACTCCTCCTGAAAAATTAATAAATACACAAATCCCACTATCAGCTGCCACCATCTTGCATGACAAACGTTGCAGGGTGGAGGATATCAGATTCCACATCAGCGGATGTTTCAGCGATATAGTTATCTGTCGCCACAGATGAGGGTGTCCGTTAAGTGGTTAGCATGTTTAAAATGTAAATTATTAAAGTATCTAATTTGTTTTCATTCTGTTTCAGAGCGCAAACTGTCCTCGGTTCGAGAATCCAGATCCTGTGCTCATCCCTGTGGGCTACAAGACTCGAATCAGCTTTGAAGGCATAAATCTGAAACATTACCAGGTAAACTGGCCCCACTCCACCTCCAACATGCATCTGAGTTTCTGTTTGTGGATTTCCCTTGGACAGGAGGAAAAAAAAAAAAAAGAAAAAAAAAAAGGTCGATTTTTAGGCTAAAAGAAAGGAGAATGAGTTAAACTTGTTTCTTTTTTTTCTACTCTTGCATCTGTTAATGAGGGGTTTTAAATTGGCTATAGGTGTAAGTGTCAGACTGTATGGTCGCGTTTCTCCTGCAATTGAAACCTCTACAAGTTGTATCCTACTTCCTGTCCCATGACAGCTGGGATTGGCTTCAGTCCTCCCACTAATCCCCGCTGTGTGGGATAGGGAATTAAGAAAATAAAGTAATGCATCTGTATGATTTCACAGAGATGGGGTCCCCCATATCAGGTGTACAGTTCTGGCTGTAAGCGATGATACGGCACTCTTACCAACTATTTAAATGTTGCAATTAGAAAGAAAAAAAGTAGCTTAAAAGGGAGTGAAAGGAAGCAAAAATAAATAAATAAATTTTTTTTTAAAAATGGCTCGTTTAGACACACGGGACCGAGTGGTCTGTAATGAACTGAACTCACGCGCAGAAACCCAGAACAGAGACAGCAGATGGTTTAAGGCTTAAGCTCTGGAAACGTGGCAAGGACAAAAGCAATAAAACGTGGCGAGGGGAATGCAGAACTGGGGCGAGGGAATGGGGCCTGAGATGCCAACTGGAGCTGGGCAGGAAACAATCACACTGAAGAGAGAAGACAGTGGAGTTAGGGAGGTAGTGGAAGTAGCCCTGAAGTGGTAAGCAGTTAAGTATAGCAATTCTTACTTGCAGTAGGTGGAAACAGACAGTTGAGACGGGGTGAGCCAAGATGAATCCAGAAAATGAGTTGATGACAAACTGGCAGTGAATGAACGTCAGCGTGTGGCTTAAATCACTCTGGCTTGATTGCCTGCAACTGGCTCCAGGTGTGCAGGAGCTGGAGGAGGTGGCCCTGCCCAGGGGCAGATCACAGGTAGGTTCAGGAGCCTCATAAAGCTAACCACCGCGGACCATGACAGAATGAACTTTGGGGGCCACACCAAAGTCCAATATAAGATAAATAAGGATTATTTTGTCTGTGAATCATGCAAAGCTACTCTGGTAAAGTTTTGGAAATGGAAGTAATGACAATAGTTCGCCTTTAAGGCTGGAGTTTTCTGTTGGAAGAGGGCTTAAAACGCACTTTTTACCATTCAACCGTAGCGAACAGGTGTGAGGACACCCAACTTTGTGAACAGAATTACTCAAAAAAATCTTGTGAATACAATAACTCAAGACGGACGTCTCCTTGGATGTTTAAACTTACCATAGGCAAATCTAGGAAGTTAAGGGGTGGCACTGGGGACCGTCAGTATTTTTGTTTTTGTCATGATTATGCAGAGTATCTTTCCACATGAATAACATTACAAATCCCAATTCTTTTACTATCAGACAGCAATATAAGCTGTAACAGTTCACTTAGTTGTCACAACATACATCTTGAGCATTTTCTTTGAATGTGTGAGTTCTGATGGACTTTATTGGTGCAGGTTCCCGGGGATCCATTCATGTTTCATCAATCAAGGTTTTGACAGCTGATCTTTCACAGCTGTGAAAATCAAAACGTGTAAGCCCTGTGTGAAGGTTTTATAATCACACAGCTTTCTGGGCTGTTTCCTTTTGGTTGTTGTGTGTATATGTTCAGTGTTGCTGATTTGATTTTACACACTTGAGTAGGATCAGAGAAACTGCAATTGTTTCCATGCTCTATACAAAGAAGAGCATCAGAGAACAGTACTGTAAAAGTATGATCAGCATGAATACACATCAGCATTTTTGTGTTTGTTTGTGTGGTTCTGCAGGGTCATCATTTCACCATTGGCAGTGAGCTGATGACAAAGGAAGAAGATGTCTCGTTTGAGGGGGGACCATTCTACACATTCAGTGGCTTCAATGTGAGCATGACCCCTCGTTTGACATTTGTCTTGATGCAACACACTCAACACAGGTCTTTGCACTGTGACTGGTTTGTGGTCCTAGTATTCAAAGTACAACCTAGAAATACACTGAAAGAGTGAATGTATATATTCTGCAGCAAAAAAACTGTGTGAAGACTTTCTGTTTGTGAACAGCTGTATTTATGTTCCACATTTATAAAAGAAGTCAACCTTTAGCCTTTTTTCACATTCCCTTTGATATTCTCTAGCTCCCTCTAATGGACATGCTCCCCTCGCTGGAGAGTTAAACACCATCTCCACATTGTGAACTTTGTGATTGGGAAGCTCAAACAGTGCTTAGCCTCCAGCTATGTTCTTTTCCAACATTGATTTCTGTAGCTGAAAATCTGCCAGACTGGGTATATATTCTTTTTTCTTTCTTATTTTCCCTTGGCGTGGGGGAGCAGCAGCCCACACTGTTTGCAGAGAAGAGCTTAAGTGCCATTAATCACAGGATTCTGTATTAATAATTCATTTTCTTCCAATTTCTTAGTTTTTCTATGATAAGTCACCGGAGACCAATGTTCTGTTCTACGTGAAGGACAAGGAGTCTGGCGAGAAGATGGACAGCACGGTGAACGGTGTGTCTTCACATATTAATGAGGAGATTTCATTTTAATGCCCTGTGTGTACACAGCAAGTCCCACTGTGGGGCTTCAGCTGGATTTAAGGAAGCTACCTTTAATCTGCACTTGAAAATGACAAAACATTACTGCACAATCTAACAGCTTTGTACATGAAGGATTCAGATAAATGTATGTTACTGCAGGAGTCACTTGAAATTAGATTGTCCATCAATTTTTCATTGAAGATGCAAGAATATGCTCTTTGAATGTACAATAACATAATATTGTTTTTGTTTCCTCACTATTATCTCCACAGTCACACTGTACAACTGTGCCGTTGAGAGGAACGACTGTAGTCTTTGTAAGAACGCCGACCCAAAGTACAAGTGTGTGTGGTGCAGCAAGAAGCTGGCGTGTGTGTATGAGAAGCTCTGCGATCCTCTCCCCAGCAACACAGAGTGTCCCGACCCTGAGATCACCAATGTGAGTCGTCACAGTGCTGTCATGACTTCATGTTTACCTTTGAAATGGAAACTGTACCTTCTTTAAAATCTTGTGATTGGATGTAAAAACACATTGACTGTGGTGATTGGACTGAGGTCTTCACTGGCCGTGTATTTTTCTTCCACAGAGGAGTTGGGAGTGTGTTTCTCCTTGAGAGTGTGCGGCGCTGTTCCTTAGCACATGTCGATCGGATCAATTCTTTGTTTGTTCACCTAATTGTTCGTGCCTCTTTGTCATTGATAAAAATCCATCAGTAATTGTGTTTATATCATTCTGACAGAGGCTATCACCTAACCCGCTGCAGCCTGACAGACAGAGATACTGCAGATAAATCACCATGACTTTGTATGTTGTTGAGATTCAACTTAACAACTATACAGAGGATTGCAGTGAGATTTTCTGAAGACATTGAGAGTCTGCAGTGTTGACCTTTATGGTTTTATTATTCATAGACACTTGTGCCCATGTTCAGGTTAAACTTTCAGTGTCCAATACCATAACAATACCATAATAATAACATAATAATAGCAGGAAGCACACGTACAATCAAGGACACGTTGCAGTAAACATCATACCTCCACTTGGCCTTGAATGTTAAATACTTAAGTCAGCTCAATAGTGGTTAAACAGACTGTGTAAATCTCTTGTATGTTCTTATTGCACAAATAATCTGGTTAAATCCATTTCCAATCCCTTCTTCCTATAAACACCCTCCTATTACATCTCCACATCCAGATCAGCCCTCTTTTCGGCCCCGTGCTGGGAGGCATCTCCATCACCATCAGCGGCTCCAACCTCGGCATCGATCAGGGAGACATTAAAAGCATCACGGTGGCTGGGAAGCCCTGCATTCATGAGCCAGAAAAATACTCCGTCTCCAAAAGGTAAAGTTGCCCACATGCAGTTGTGCACTATGCACAGGAAATGTAACCCACCTGGAGGCCATTCAAATGGCATATGGACAGGTTTTATCAAGTCTCTTTTTAAATGTTGTATACTTAACTGTGTTAGGAATACTTCCCTTTTGCTCAGGATAACCTGACTACAGGTTTTAATTAGCTCATTCTACAACTGTATTGATCTGAGTCTCCAGACACAGTTTGATTTAGAGACAGTCACAGTTTCCAGAGGGAAATGTCAGTAGTAGAAGTATTCACTTTTTTTCCTTTTCTT